CCAGTAGCAACAGTGGGGTTTTGCCAGCTGAGCATCCACAGTCAGCAGGGAGGGAGCAGCCAGCTTTATATGGCCTTTTCTCAACTACTCTATTACAAAGAATTTGGGAAGCTAATTCTTAAATCCTCTCTGGACATTGCATTTTTTGGATGTTCCCTATTTAAAAAAAAAAAAAATCAGAGCTGCACTGCTTTGGCAAGGCTGCCAGCATGCCCGCACCTTGCTGAGAATGGGAGGAAAGGGGCTGCTCTCCAAAATGCCAGCAGTGCTTCCTCCTGCTGCTGCTGGTTGCAGACAGGGAGGTGAATCCAAGCTGTTGGCTCCCAGGATAACAAGAGGGCTGTGGAGAAACAACTGCTTACTATTCTTCTCACCGTGCTCAGCCACTGCCTCGTTGGCGAGGTTGGTATCACACACCAAAATAGTCTAAAAAGGCCTCCTAGTTTAAGGGTGTTTTGGCTCCTTTCTGCCAGAAGTGGAAGGTGATGAATGCAGCTCTAATGGCTCAAAACACCCAGCAGCTACACACATCCTCACCATTCAACCCATCCTGCCATGCTCCTGCGTAACACGCTTCCAAGGTTACCAGCGTTTGCTGGCACCAAAAAAAGCTCCCCCAGGCCCCCAGCCCTGGCCACAGCCATTTGGCTGTGATCTTTGTACACAGCTTCCAGCTGCAGCTTCAACCAAAAGCCAGCCAAGGCACAGGGACCACGAACCAGCACGGCTGCGGCCCTGGCAATGGATATTGGGCTGTTTATGGCAGAGACTTTCAGGCTTGGCTAGGTTTGTTTTCCTCCTACTGAGACATTTCTCTCCCAGCTAAATGAACATGGTGTTTAACTGCTGCTCTCCCGCTGTGGGCTAGCGGCAACGTGGATATTTACTTGCTGGCTGGTGAAGGGCAAGACATCCCAGTTTACAACAACAGCCCCATCCCGGGGAAGCGGCTGCAGAGCTGAAGCGCAGCTGAAGGTCCATGGGAGCAGAGGGAGGCACCTTACCTGCTCCAAGCCACAGCAGCATGTGAGAAAGCAGAGGTTTCTTGATGCAGACACTACTGCTGTTGAATAAAAGCATCCTCCCTAGACGGCCGTCACTGAAAACACTGCTGGGACTGCAGCAGGCTGGCCTGAGCCAGCTCAACAGTCAGAGAACTACTAAGGGAGGGAAGCAAGTTGCAGCTTTTTTTTTTTTCCTAAATCTTTTTAAAAAAATAATCTTTTACTTCTCTGACAACAACCATACCCTAAGCTTACGCTTAGTCCCTCCTGCCCTTGAGCTAAACCACAAACACCACCACCCCCCCGCCAAAAAAAAAAAACTAAACCCCACACCACAAACCCAACTCTGTTCCATACAAAATTTCCCTGTGCAGGTTCTCCCTCCTTGTGCCAAAGCCGAGGGCCACACAAGGCTCCAGGACTGTTGCCCACCCCAGCTCTGGCACCCAGAGTGGACAAAGCCAAGGGATGGAGCCGGGCTGGGTACCCAAGAGGGTGCAATGGGGGTATCCAGTTCCCCACCACCACCTCTCCCAGCACACCAGGTGTTCCCTTCACTGCATGAACATCCCCAAGCCTGCACCCTTGCTCCTCAAAGCAGGCAGCCAAGGAGCAACAAACTGCTGCAGCAGCATTCGGATGTTAACAGCACGGTCGCTGGCCCACGGGAGGTGGGATTTTTTGCCAGCACTTGGCTGAACCCCTGCACACGGGCTGGGGATGCTTCGAGAGGGCACAAGAGAGTGGATTTGGAGATGAGGCAAGACCCTGCTGGGGCAGCAAAACTGTGAGACGAAGAGCAGGCATTGAGGGGGAGCGGTGGCGTGGGAGGGCAAGATGCCAAGGGGACCATGGGACACATGCCCAGCACTATAGCTGCTTCCTCCAGCCCCAAGACATCACTCCCTTAACCACAAAAGTATGAAACGAAAAAGGGAGGAGTGTTCTTTTCCCCTCTTTATAAGCAGCCAGCTCATGGTGGGTGCAGGAGCAGCCTCCTGGCCCCATGCGGGGCTGAGACCCCACCTGGCAGAGGAAAGGTTTCTACCCAGCTGCTTAACCCCCTCCCTGAGGCCCAGGGGAAAAACTATTTGGAGCCTTCCCAGCTGCACAGCCCTTCCAGCCACAGAAAATATCTTCCCAGGAATGTGAGATACAAGCCTGATAAGCACGTGTTGTTTTAAAACAAGACAGGGGTAGGTTTTAAAGCTGTCCTTCAGTTCAGGCTGTGTTTAAGCAGCACAAGGGTAATTTGTTATGATGGGGTATTTTTATCAATTTAGTAACTCCAAAGCTGTAGTGTTACAGCAGTATGAAGCCTTTTGCCTTCTCAAATCACTTTAGCTTTTCAGCCCCAGAAAACAGCTGCTTGAAATGAAAAGGGGCCAGAAGAGGAGGAATTAGGTTACGAGGAAATACACTGACTTCATTTCCAACTCACAGTTGCGTCACGGGCTGTTGACAAGTGCATTTACCAGCCACGGGCCTCCCACTTAGCAGCGCATAGCAATTCCCAACGCAAGGAGCTGGATCCCGACGTTCCCTCGCCCTGCCTCCACCACGGGCAGCTCCCGCAGCAGTGTGGCTGAGACCACTGCTTGTCACCGCCACGGTCCTTCCCTGCCATCACCTGTGGTTTAACCTCTCCAACCCTGGTGCCCGAAACCGCAGAGCGGCAAGACTTGCCCTTTTCCCTCAGAAAATCATAGAATCGTTTAGGTTGGAAAAGACCTTTAAGATCATCCAGTCCAACCATTAACCTACACTACCAGGTCTACTCTAAGCCAATCAAGGGTAGACTAGACTAAACCATGAAGGCAGCAACACATTTTTAGGAAGCACAGTGCAGCCAACAGCAAAACCACTTCTCTCGCAGCTCGCTGCGGAGACAAACAGAACAAAATCCTGCATCTCAAAAGCCTTTGAACCGAGGCTTTCCTGCAACAGGCAGAAGGGAGACCTCCCATCAGAGGCTCTGCCACGCAGAAAAGCATACAAAACTGATAGAAGCGTGTAACCCACTAGTTAGACACGTTTGCACGCACCAATTAAATATCCCAATTAGCCTGAAGTAGACAGGATGACACGCAATTTGCCATGAGCCATTCAACCCAACAGCAAGGCTGCGCTCATCGCGCTTTTCAAAGCGGCACCTCGGCATACGCACCTACCACACTGCTATTTGCTCCAGGCTTGCGCGCAGGGTTCCCAGCCTCAGCATAGCTACAGCTAAGCAGCCGGGCAGGGGGAAGAGCTGTTTTCACTCCCACACCCCAGCTCCGCTCCATTTTAAATGCTTTGCCTCACTGGAAGTGGGAGCCAGGGGTACTGGGGGGCTGCATAGCCACACCAGGGGCTGCATGGCCATGCAAGCGCTGCCCTGCCCACGCTAAACTTACTCCACTGAGAAGCAAAAGTCTCAAACTAAGCAAGTGCCTACTCTCCCCTTCCTGTAAGGCCCCCAGTTTTTAACAAAAATGCAACAGGAAGGGTAAGATGCATCCTCACCTGGCCCCACTAAACAAATCCTCTGCAAGGAAAGAAAGAGCTGGCTCACAGTGATTTTATTTAGGCTTTGAACCTGCCTCCCTGCTTTTCGGCCCCTCTGGGTGAAGGCAGACAAGCATTAATTTACACTGCTCAGATTACACCAAAGTTGTACGTCAGCCAGAAGCGCAGCTGGCCCAAGACCCTTTCCTGGGAAAGCTAAAAAAAAAAATCAGTATGTAAATGAAGTTCCCACAGAACTAAAATAGAGTGTGTTTAAACTAGACAGGCACTTCCGAGAAAACTAGGCCACGCTCCGCTCCCACCTCCACAGGCAGTAATCTCGCTCCCCCCATCCCGCTGCCACACCTATCTCACCCCTGCAGAAGCGTACCCCCACCTCAGCCCTCCGGCACCAGCGGCCAAAGCCTGACCCAAGGCAGCCAGGATGCCAAAACTCCGCTGAAGCGGAGGCCTGAGGCCTCGCAGATCAACAGCCAGCAAGCGGGTCCTGCCCTCCCCTTCCAGGCACCTTAACCTCCTACACCCGTCACTGGCGGCCCAAGGCAACACCCCTGCTCAGGCACACAGGGACACGTCAGCAGCAACGCAAAGCCCCTCGCCCCAGCTGGGGCTCTGTGACGGTGTCTGTATTCCTTTGTTCAATCCAGACTGCCACAGGATCAGGCAGGTAGAAAGCGCAAGGAACCCGCTACTGTTGCATCTCAGCAAGAACCAGAGAAGCAATGGCCGTTTGCTCCAGGTCTGTCAAACGGATGCATTTCCCAACAAGGAAGGCAGCAGGAAAGGAAATTGCAAATACTCAGGTAAGTCTCAAGCTTTCTGCTACGCCTAGGATAGGGCTAGGCCATTCCGACACTTCTCTCGAGGAGAAGGCAAGTGCAGAAAAACCCCAAATCCTGTAACTTGACTTGAGTTCTACTCAGCTCCTGAACAGCTGTCAAATACAGAGCTAGTACCACAGCCAGGCTGCGTTGGAAAACCCAAGTAATTTCAACCCCTCCCCACAATGTTCCCACTACCTGGACTCAGAGAGAGTGCTGGCCTTAGAGTAGCACTCCATCCATCCTCCTACCTTAATCCTGAAGTCATACTACAGCTGAGGACAGACTCAAGTATCCTTGTCTGACAAAGCAGCTCAGCCAGCACTCAGCTTGAATAGCACATGCTCCATTCTCTTGGGGTTTTTTTTAATTAAATTTTGGTATTTCCAGCAATAGAAGTCTCTGTGCAATCATGAAAGATGAAGAAAGTCCGCTCCACTACGATGACATTTCTTGAGCTTCGCCTTATTCCCCTCAGCCTGCTCTTGCACTCCAATGCCACAGGTAGAAGCTACGCGAGGTCTGCCTGGAGACAGTCAAGTTGTAGTGCGCTAGGACCAGGCTATACTACTGACAGTACCAAGTCCTCAGACAAACATCTTGCTGCAACCTCTCCTGCAAGCCACCCTAAGAAACACACTAGACCAAAAGGCATCACCTAGAATTGGTTTAAATGAGTTTTATTTTAGACAAACTACGTGACAGATGTTTGGTTTTTTTCTTTTTTTAAAACAATGCCTCCACTCCAAATCAGGGTCAAAATAAGTGAATAAAGCTCAAGATGACATCAGTCCAGTTGTTAAGACATTGCCAATTCCTGGTGGTGTGCCGATGAAGAAGAAACAGCAGCTATGAAGACAGGTGATCCAAAACCATATTGTTTGATTTGTTACTGAAACAAGAGTAGCAAGTGTTAGTTCAAGGTCATGACAGTCAGGCTAAGTTTCTGTAACTTATTTATGTATTCCCTAATTCAATCTGAGCTGCCACAGTCAGGCAGGCAGAAAGCGCAAGGAAGTTACTTTTGCATCTTAGTGCAAACCAGAGAGCAACAGGATGAGTGCTCATGGTCTATCAGAGGATGCTGAGCTTTTCTACGATCATACAGAGCAACTGGCATCAGCTGCTGAGCAAGCCAGACAAGATACCCATTCACACCCTTCTTGCTTGACACACCAAGTTTCAGATTTCCTCTCAAGTAAGAGCATGTCCTAAACAGACACTAAAGCCTACAACATATGTGCCATCTCTTACAAGAGCTGTACCAAGAAGCTGTAAGTTTTTTGCCCACTGGAACACCTTGCTACTATTCTTTTAGAATCACAGAACGCTTTGGGTTGGAAGGGACCTTTAGAGATCATCAACCCCCCTGCAGTGAGCAGGGACAGCTTTAACTAGATCAGGTTTTAACCCCATCTACTTCAAGATGGGGTATCCAAATTACACATGCAAAAGGTCTGCCCAAGTAGGGGAGATGTGCACAGGCTTCTGCTCAGAGGAGCTACCTTCCAGGTGCCTGCCTCTTCTAGGGTCCAGGACAGACACCACCCTTCACTCATGCTGTAGGAGGTGGTGTGTCTGGGCCAATAAAAGTGTTCCACTAGTTGGGCTACTGCTCCACATGAGAAGTTGATTCATCTTTACATGACTTGCATACCAGAAAGCCTGTAAGAGGCTTTACAGATAAATTTAGCTGGCTATAAACAGGCTTCCTAAGTCCCACAATGACTGGGCAAAGCAATTGGTGATCCCACACTGCTAGTCTATGGTGGATTCCACAGCTCTCAGAATAAGTCAAAAAATGCAAGTGTTGGGGCCCAAATACCGTTTCATTGCAAACACATTCCATCCCGGAGTAACTAAGGAGAAAGCAGACCACAGGAGCTGCCTGGGCTCAGGCAGTTAGAGATTCAAGATAGAATAAGGTTAAGTACTTGGTCAAGTATTACCATGTTCCCAAATTTAGGGCAATATTTAAATAGATGGTTCTTGCCTAACAAAGTAAGGGCATCAGATTAAGTGAAAGATGATGAAACATGATCAGGTAAGGTACTTCAGAATTAACCCCCACAAGAGGGATCCAAAGTAGAAGTCCTCCATTCCAGAGGGCATTGTCTTTAATCTAATAGTTTAAAACCATTACCAATTACACACATCTCACCCCAAGGGAATTCCTTCTGCATTTCTTAGCCATGAAGTCACAATGAATCACTGCAGTGAAACTACGTCCCCTTTGAGTATGATTCAACAGCATACAAGGGAAGTTTCAGCCACTTTGTACAATATGAAGCAACAATTAGGCTGTACTTACACAAACTTTTAAGTTTTTAAACTGGCAGTTACTGCTCAACTTTAACAGGGATATGACAGAACAAGTGACACACTGAAAGGGCTAATCATGTAGTCAGGCACATTCATCCAATTCAGGTCAATACTTACACATTTCTCAATTTCTAAGCCATCCTTAAAGAAAATCATATATGGGGTCACACCATCCTCACGGAAATCCAGGAGAGCCACCATACCATCTGGATTCATGTTCTCTCCTACAAAGAACTTCAGAGAAATGTGTTACCAAGACATTTAATGAGCTACTACCAAGGGAAAGTGCCCTTTATACAATAAAGCTGTAACATCTACTAGTTCAGTTTAAAGGTCTCCCCAACCAGCTGCAGGGATTGTGCTTTCTACATCTTGTCCATTTTAGTACCACTAACTTCACCACACTGCTATGAACAGCAGAGTAGGACACAGCAGGGGCCAAAGTGATCCATCTCTGAAGCCTTTAACTCCACAGTTCCTAAATGGTGGTAACTACAAATGTAGTTAACTGCAAATGTCACAAGCTGAAATGAGGTTGCCCAAACGCTTAAGAGTCTTTCCCTGACTCTCAGAGCCCCTAATACTCTCAGAGAAGGGTAAGTTAGATGTCCTCACAACAGGAACCCTCAAAACTCTCCACAAGCTAGCTCAGCAGACAAACCAATCGCAGCTTGTATCACTGCAATACTGCTGTAAGGAGACATAAGTTTCATTACCTGGTAGTTTTTGAAGTTAGCAAGGATGTGTTTGATTTGTTCTGCAGCCCCTGTCATGAAAGGCTTTACTCTCTCTGGCTTGTGTTCCTCAAGTCTGGCTTTGATTCTGGAAGGGGAAAAGAAAAAAGCTCTGAAAACACGTTCTAGCCTAACAACTTCACTGTGCAGCATCACATCATAGCAGAGTTACCAGCAGTCAAACTGTTTGATTTTGCTGCTTTTCCCCCCCTCTCCCTCTCAAAGCCCCCAAACTTTAACTTATTTTTGCTAGTGAATTAGCAAAACAATGCCTGTCACTCATATCAAGCTCATTTTACTTCTATGCTAGCAGTAGACAAAAATTAGCAAGCCATTTCCACAGCATCAAGAGTACTATCCACCCGTATCACGGAGAAAGTGTTTTCACCTTTAATGCTAACCCACTAAACACTGAGCAACATAAATTATACCTTGAATTACCAAAAAGTTCCATTCACACACATTCTCCTTGGACATTTAAATTGACAAGTTAGAAAAACTTCCTGAAGCTTTCTTCACCAGCCCACCCCCCTCCCCATGAAGGTTTGGCATAGAGGAATCGGAAAGAAAACAGCAAGGTTACAAATAATACCCAAAGCACATGATCACGTCTTCTACCTCAGCCAAGATAAACTTAGATATTCCAGTATCAACTTTAGAGTCCCAGTTTTGCCAAGTATTAAGACACTATTGAAGTTCACAGCCAGTTTGGCACCTGTATCAGAACTAACACCTACTAGGAATAAAGTTCAACACTGTTTTTAAAATCTCAACGCCCTAACAATTTTGCAATCTCCTTTAAAGAAAAAGCCTACCAATACTTACGCTTTCATGTAGTCCTTGATGTACTTCTTGTAGGATTCTTTTGTAAAGCTGGTTTCCTGAAGGTGGTGGTTTATTACTATATCAACACCAGTTATGACCGTAGCTTCTGTTCCATCTCCCTCAGGACCTTCAGCAGAGGCATTGCCACCAATTAGAGAGTCATCAATTTGACCCTCTGTCCTGGTGACCATCTAGATTTAGAGACATCAAAAAACTTAACGGCTCTGCAAAAATCTTAATGCTACCGCTCTTACACATCTATGACCTGACAGCAGGGCATGATTTCAGAGCCACAGTTAAGCACAAGGAATGTGACTGCAGCCCGAGCACGGATTTCTTAAGCCAGGCTCCTCTCCCAGTGCCTGACCAAAGCTTCCTTACACCGCCAGCACTCCAGCTTGGCTGCCCTGGCC